TAATTGTAGAATGAAAAAAAAGAATTATTGACTGTCAATCGTAATATTCTATTTTAAAAAATATGATTCGTCAGGTATGGAGAATTTCAAATTAAATCTTCTTTTATTTGCGATAAGTTATCTGTAGAAAAAATAGTCATTGCGAATTGCACAATTATTATTAAATATTAGTTTTACCTATTCTTTATTCTAGTTTCATTAAAATTGATTTTATTTCTCTTAATTAATCATAAATATAATATAAATTAATAATAATATAAAAATTTATTCATAATGAAATTTTTTATATTTAAATGCTATTTAAAATTTTTTTTTTGCTGTAACAATAGACCATAAAAAAATAATTTTTTAAATAAAAGTAGGTTGCATCAATTGCACTTTCTATGCCGCTAAACCATAAAATTGTAAATGAATGTACAATCTCTTGTGATCTTTAAAAATCACGGGGCAACATCCAATATCCGGATTTTTATATACTCACAAGATGATAGAATTTTGTTAACAGAAAAAAAATTGTTTCTACAAGTTTCACATAAAAGTTGTTTTCCTTGTTTCATGATTATAATTTGAGAAAGGAGGAATTTCATTGGTCAATATAGACGCGCTGCGGATATATTGAATCTCAAAAGGGATTACTCCTACGTTTGTGGTAGCCATTTCGATGAGAGGCTTATAGGCCATCATGGTTTATTCCCCACGATTAACGGTTCACAATCGCACTTTTATATATAAAGAAAAACCAATTGGTGTGTATATAGATGGAAAATGAGGTCGATGATAAAATGTTAAAAATCGCGTACTCACCTATTTTCAAATACAACTTCCCGTGTTGTATGAAGAATCCTCTATATTTAAGAATAATTCCTTAAAAAACAAGTAGAACTGTGAATAAATCCTTGGGAGGGGTGGGGGAGATTTTTTTAAATCAGCCTTTACCACCTTTTTGAATCACAATAATACACAGAGTATAATGTCGACTTTGGTAGTACCTCGGAATTTTTCAAACTACGGTCTACGTAGTCAACTAAGACTTTGAAGCTGCTATAAGGAAATAGTGGGGGGACTCAGTGGGCCCCCAAGCCCAACATTCTCACGTGGAGGGGATTTGATGATTATTCCAGGTGAAAGTACCTCTGACTCTCTCTCTACATATATAGTATGTCTGCTGACATCTATTGGATATACTGATAATTGCACATTTTTTTTACAATTAATTTTATTTATCTTATAAAAATTTTTTTTTTTTAAACATTAATGTTTTTTTAAATTAAAAATTTTATTTACATTGTAATTTAATTCAACAGCATCCGGATATTCAAGATATCCTACGGATGTCCTCGGTATTACCAAAAACTAGGATATCCATAGGATATCTCGGGAATATCCTAAGCACATCCTAAAGATATCCAAATTTACGGATATGGATAGGATATTCTAAAACGTACGCTGCTGACAGGGTATTAGAGTTACTAATTACGAACTCAAAAATATTATAATTCAAGATGCCATATCTAATATGGCAGTATGATGATGCAAAATAGAGATTAAATAATATTAATATATCATAATAAGTAATAAACTTTGTAAGTTAACTTAAAATGTTAGTTATTATGAAGTACAGTTTCTAAATTCAAAACTTTTCAGGGTCGAATTTAAGGCGGGGCAGTAATCAAGCGCCAAAAGTTTAAAATTCAAATGTACATTTGTAGGTAAGGTAGAAATCAATTGGTAAACTTGTGTGTTTGATCTGCAATTTACCATAGACTGCAATTTAGAATTTTTACTTTAACTCGAATAATTTTTAAAAATCTATTATTTAGTTAATATTCTTGTTTTTATTTATTATTATTAATATTATTATAATTAAATATTATTATTGTAATTATATTATTAACAATATTAAATATTATTAATACTGTTTTAATTTTTAATTTTACGTATTACGTATATTAATGAACAATAAAATTTACGACATTGTAAATTATTTGATACGATCTCTTATTTGTATGTTATTATTCTAAATGATAAACATGAATAATATATAACATACGAAATTTTATGTCCAAAGTTCAATTTTCATTGTACTTAATTAATAAAATATGTAATTATAATCTTTTTTTTTGCTTGCGTTTAAAATGAATAATAAGTTTTGTTGAGTCTACAAAACTTACTAAAAAAGATTATAAACGTGTGAATCACAATATGACATTCTTCTGGGCGGTTGAAATAACATATTTACTACATAGAGAATAAAAACGAAAAATTATACTTTCTTTTCGAATATTATTTTTTAGCAATATATTTGTAAATATTAATTTTTTGTCATCAATTTTTGTGTTTTAACATATTAGAAAACTTTTCTATTATAGAAACTAATTTTTAAATGATTAGTGACCCTCCATCCATAACTTTATAAAATTTCCAACCTACGCGGGGATTCGAAACTTAAGGAGCGCTGCACAGGAATCAATGATTTAAACCGCTCGACTATACTGCAGCGATTCTAGTGTATCACAATTCTTCTTTTTTCAGAATGCAAATTAAAATTTAAATATACACTGTAATTATGTTTTGTTTATTTCCTTCTATATATACAAGGTCAAAGATCAGGATTAAATGATGATTATTAAAATCTTTGAAATTATTATCATTGGCAAACATGAGAAATAATTTTATACAGCTAAAAATGCGCATCACTGTTGAAATATTAAAATCTTTCTAATAAATTTATATCAGTTTATTAACTTTATACACTTTATGTACACAATATAGTACAGGCTATTTTTTGAGTTAATAATTATTTTTATTTTCATATTAGCAAAAAAAATTAAAATTTCTTTTTTAAGATACCAAAAATGTTTCTCAAAATTTTTTAGAGGTAATATGAGAATCTTTATATAAATTATATATTTGGCCTAAATATGAAAATTTTTAAATCTTGTCACTGCATGCTCAAATAATTGATGATAAGCGAAACGATGGTATGTCTAACAGGTGAATCAGTTCCCAGCGAGTTGTACCTGGTAGTACATAGACATTATATAGTTACTTCAGTTTATATACATATATACACAATCCCATAGGAAAGTAATCCTACTTTATTATCGCCAGCATGAAATGAATTTTCCTCATTTTAGTTATTAGCCAGCTTATTATTCTTGTAAAAACTTACAATTTACTACCTTTAAAAACAAAACATTTAAATAAAAACCAATTTTTTAATTTTAATTATTTTAAATTTAAGTAGTACTAAATTTCATTACTAATTATAGTAAATTTTAATTATTGTATTTGTATTTTTAATATTTCCCTATTAGGAAATATTTTTTTTTTCGTTTTATTGTTTAAAAATTATTTCGCTTTAATTTAAAAATGAGAGAAAACGACACTTTTAAAACAATCATATTTTTATAATTGACTCGAACCTGAAAAAAATTCAAGAATAAGAGAATAAACTTTTGTCTTGCGTGTTTTCTTTTAGGGGATGCAGAGGAGGGTTTAAAGAAAATGACTTTTATCGACTTATTTCGAGTCTGTCGTCAGGCAACTGCATTTCGATATTGTCGCATGGCAAGATTCAATTATTATTATTATTATTTATCGTACCAAGTACTTGAAATATATTATCCCAGAATCATTCATCAAGTAAAGGATCCTATATCAATAATTCAAAATACTTAATTTAGAGACACAAGAAAATGAATTAGATTATTGGAAATCTCTTTATTGAATAATAATTTTTAATATTCTAATAATACACGTTTTATCATTTTCTTGCGTTTCGAGCCAAAATATTTACTACGCACATCAAAATAAGAGCGACAAAAAATAATTGATAAAAAAAGCAGTTCTGATAATCGTTTATTGTAGTAAATAAATATTATTACTAAGTAAGAAATAATGGAATCACTTCCCAATAAAACAAGTAGAAAATAATCAATTCATTCAGAGCTTTTGGAGAGAAAAAGCAAGAGAAGGAGAAATAAAATTAAAAATGGGGGCAATGTTTATAATAAGAAAAACCTGAATGTCGATGCCAATTGGTTGATATATACATGAAGATGCGGGAAATAAAGAGGTAACGAAAAAACGAGACATATATATATATATATATAATGCGGGCATCACTGGAAGACGACCTCTGCCTGTCAAAGTCCGTCAGTCCATGTAACCCCGGGTCAACCTACCATCATCTATAACAATAATTGTTTACAGTTTCATGCGTTTATGTGCAATCTTCATGTATACAATCGTGAAAGAAAATCTCTGGCCACTTCTCCATTCTGTCGACAGTTATTATTCATTTCACGCACAAACTGATTAAAAAAAAAATTTCTTAAAAGCAAAAAAATAATTTAAAAAATGATATTTAATATTAATTATTTCTATTTTATTTTAAAGAAATATCATCCATGACAAAAATTTCTAAAAATTCCAAAATTAAAAAAATATCTTCTTTTGAAAATTTTTTGATTTATCCAGAGGGTGAAGTAAAATTTTCAAAATTTCTCCGAGAAAAAACAAAAAATCACATTCTGAGCAAATAATTTATTATAAATGACAAAATTATATCCCTTATATTCATCACAGTTACCAATCGTTAAATTGGTGTTTTCACATATAATCATATTAAATACTATTAATAAACAAATAATTTCCAAATTAAAGGAAATTTTCTATTTTTTATTGAACTGTAAGGAAACAATCTTTTTTCTTAAAATAAAAATTATACATAACTAATAAGGAACATATTTTATCTCTCGAATTTTTGAAGTTATTTTTATATAATTTGTCCTGCTTCAGTCTAAATATTCTTCATAGAAATCATAAATATATTTATATAGTCAAGTACTGCGTATTTATATATATGTAATCTTTATAATATAATTTATACAAGCTTTTCACAGAAAGCTCAATTTTTTATTTGCCCTTTTCACTATGAAAACAATGAGCGTAAGTAAAATGATTAATATATAAGAATAATGATGAAGAAACTACTGTTAAAATTACATAAAATATATTGAGTGATAAATACAATTTCTTTGATGACTAAAATGATATTTACAAGTGTTTGTAATAATTAAGAAATATTTAAATTTTTTGATGAAGGACAAGCCAAATTCGAACAAACAAAAAAACAGTTGTTTTAACCCCTAGAATGTAGTTAAAAATTTGAGCCGGTTTATACTTCTTTTGCTAGAGTGATAAAGTAGAAGTGCTGTTTTATTTTCTGCCGATAATGTAGATTTCGCGTCTAGTCTATAGAGGCATTACATTACTATCTGAAAATTAGATTTAAATTCTATGTTGGCATTCTATTAATTAATTTGTTCCACTCTTTTGCACCTTGTCCAGCTGATGAATTTCGTAATTGCACAACAGTTTTTTCAATAATTTAACAAAAAAAAAACATTTATCGCACTACCGCAAGAGGTGGATTATGTTTCCCAGGTTGGGCTCTGATGACACCAGCAACTCGCCTAAACGGCAATTGAAGATAATAATATGCGCAATAGGGCAACGGATCCCAATAAACAAAAAGAGCTTGTCTTTTATCAAGAACAGTGCCCAAAAGTCGTGAAGTATTTTCACATGATGATGATTTTAATGCAGTGTCAATAGCTTCTTGATTCAATGGTCTCTCACCAATCACAAGTGGTCCCGAATTATGCCTCGAAAAATGTTTACAAGGTCTCCAAACCAATCGCGGATGTACACTCGTATGACAAATGTATGGCAATCCAATACCAACACGACATCCAATTGATATCAATTCCCCAGTCTCTCTTGAAATGGCCAGTCTAAAACTTAAATGACCATTGATACGACTTCCAAAAGTCCTTGTAAAAAATCTCTCCAACCAATGATTAACATCAATTCTCTCCTCAGGAATAAGTCCCTTTATTTCATCAACTCTACACGTTATATTGGCAACAACTTTTGAATCTTTTATTGTTGTACAAGTAATAAAATGACTACCACCTGGATCACGAATCACCATCCAAGGTCTCCTTTCACTAATCTCATGTTCCTGATGACGAAATTCGCGTACAGTTGGTGGTAATGTGATTTTTGTTCTATCTCTCATACCAGCTGGACCAGCAGCCAACATCACATGTCTACCTGTTCTCAAACTTCCAGTCTCATATAAACAAGTGACATCGTCTTCTGTACGAAGAACAAAATTCGTCGGTGTCGCTAATCCCAATGAACGACATCGTCTCATCAATTCCAATGGATCATCCAAAACAGTAACCTCAGCAGCACCCGGTACAAAACATTCACAACCCATTATTTCCAAATATTGTTTTGCAAGTGCATCATAATATGCTGCACTAGTTGCACAAACTGGAATATAATATGCCGCTCTTTCTCTTTGAACAATATCCTTAAGAGCTTTAACATATTCTGCCGCACTACCTGGACCAGGTTTTGGCACTGTATAATACTTTGAACATGCCGTTGAATATTTTGCAAGTGCAAAAAGACCCTCTAAATCAAATACAACAACACGAGCACCTGCCTTGTAGAAATTTTGTGCCAGACGAACAGTTTGTACAGTACTTCCACCACTTATAAGAACACATCTTTTATTACGTGAACGTTCAGAAGCGGGCGTATGAAGAATTGTGATGAACCATTTTAATATTGTCAATGGTAATTGAAGCATTATCCAAAATAAACAAACCCAGGCCGAAGCCCATAAACCAGGTGCCCATATTGCATAACCCATTGTATTTAAAGTCCATTGAATTACACTGGAAATCATTCCTAAATACCAGGTGAAAATTCGTACAGGTAGAAATGCCCTTTGTTGTTCGGATTGATGATTATTTTGTATCATCAGTTGACTACGACGTCTTGGACTATTAATAACAATCGAATTTGACAAATTAGACGTACTTCTTTTAAGTGTCGAAATATGTGATTCCTTATGAGGAATTGGTGAAACAGAAGATGGCAAATGCTCCAATAAAGAAGGCGGTGATTTTGAAATTGGCGAACTTGGCAATGGTGGTGATGCACTACTGCTTCTAGATGGCGGTGGACTCCAAAATCGAGGATAATTTTCACTCGAACAAGCTGGCATTTTTGATGATAATAATTAAACCGTTACAATACAAATTCTATTCCATACTCGATTTTAATTACTAAATTTAAAGTTCCATAAATCAGAAAAAACAAGTAAAGATACAATTTCACGACACAAAAAATGGTCCTGATTAAATTCGATAAAATAATTATAGAAACAATATTGTCATAAATTGATTATCATCGTTGACAAGATTGCGAGTCCAAATTCTCTCGCGGGTACATATTTTGATTAGCACATGTAAATAATAAGCACTAAAATAAAGCACTTTCAATTAATAATCCTTGAGAAGATTTGCCGGTACACGCGATGCTTAACTGACTCGGATTCTGTGAAATCTCAGTCTCTTATGTGGACTGCATCTCGATCGCACTATGAACCTAGAGTCTTATCTAATCGAAACACTTCTTTAGAGAGACATCGTCGCAAAACTGAGGAAAAAAAAGAAGAAGAATTAAAATAAAGAAGAAGAAATTGCTTATTTCACAGATTGACGATAAACCATTTAAGAAGCAACATTCAGCATTGACTGATCAAGTTTACATCAAATGACAATCATCCCTATTATGAGAAACCACACTTCTCTCTCTTTCTTTTATCAACGATTCTGATAAGGATTTGTCAATTTATTTCACGCTGATAAATTATCCATTTATTTATGTTTCTTCGAGACGATTATTCTCGCGCAAAAAGAAAAACTGAATTTTTATAAACGGAAAATACTAAAAAAAGTTTTTATTTATTATTTTATTGAGGAAAAATTGAAGAGAATATTACCACCCTTAAGACAACTCCTATCAAAAAAAATTCCAAAAAATTCGATTTTTCTTAGACAGACGATGTTATTGCAAATTCTTTCACAAAATACACCTAAAAGTGTAGAAAAAAATTGACAGCCCAATACAAGTAGGGAAAGACCCCTATTACCACCCTTAAGGCAACCCCTATCATAGAAAAATTCATAAAAAATTAAATTTTTCTTAGACAGACGATTTTATTCCAAATTTTTGCACAAAATACATATAAAAGTGTAGAAAAAAATTGACAGACCAATACAAGTAGAGGAAGACCAATATTAACACCAAAAATGCTACCCATATCATAAAAAAATTTCCAAAAAAATTCAATTTTTCTTAGGCAGACTATTTTATTGCAATTTCTTGCACAAAATACACCTAAAAGTGTAGAAAAAAATTGACAGGTCGATCCGAGTAGAGGAAGACCCCTATTACCACCCTTGAGGCAACCCCCGAGTAGAAATTTGTAATGGCGCTAGGATGGAAGCGCTAGATGCCATGTTACCGCTTATGGAGTCTCGCGCCGCGAGCTAGCGCCATTACAAATTTCTACTCGGGCCCCTATCATGAAAAAAATCGTAGCTCCAAAGCTGTGAAAGTTAAGGGACACACACACTTTTTTGCGAATATCGAGTTTTTGTACTATAACTATATTAAATTCAATTCCAATCGGGTTCGCTATAATTTTCTTTTAATCTACTCGCTAAAATACGTATGTATACCAAGTTTGAGCCCAATCTGTTAAAATGGAAAGAATTTAGAGGGGGGTGGGATAGGATTTTGTGGACGGACATAAGTGAAACCATAAGGGTTCCGTTTTGGTTTACTGCGTGAACGGAACCCTAAATAGATAAATTTCTCGATATTCTGTACAGTAATAAAAGGTCATTAAGTATATTTTTATAATGAAATTTTTATTAAATATATTAGTCTTGAAATTTAAATAAAAGTTTGAGGATTAAAGAACTTAGAGAATTGACGCTGAGAAAGATATTGTTTTGAGAATGTTGGGGATATATGTGGGGATTATATAGTCTGTGAAAATGGGGGGGGGGGTAGTTCAATTCCTATTAAGTTGCAAATCGACTTGCTTACACGAATGTAAATTAAACACCCCGCAAGGAAAGTTTTAATAGCAAATTCAAGGAAACTTGAGTAGACAGCAAAGAAGATTCATGGCATTTGATTAATGATAGTTTTGCTAATGATCATATATTGAAATCGACAAGTGGAAATTTTTTTTAATAAAAGCTCTTATAGGGTACTCGATGCGCGACAAGAAATTGTCCTTCAGTTCTATTTTGCACGTTAAAGAATAATCACCTCAAACTAATTTTTTTAAAAATCACAATTCTTTTTTTTAAGTGAATTTTTGTTAATAAATTTTTTTAAAATTGTTTACAATCGAAATAGTGAATTTTTTTTTTGCATTTATTAAAAGAGAATCAATTCAAATAGCGTGACATGGGGAAAGAAATTCTTTTGAAAGAAAACATTTTGAGTTGCGTGCATGACGACACTCTTCCAGGTACGAAATGTATCTTCGTGACGATAAAATATTATCTTTTGGAAAACTTTTCGTTCATTAAAGACTATTAGCAATATATTTCTAAAAAAAAGAGAAGCAAAACGAGATAATCTATATTTTTATGGAAGCATAAAATTTAATTATTTCTTTTTTACATTTCTCATTGTTGCATGTTTAGAGAAGAACAATCTTTACAATTATGATTGAGAAGGAAGAATTAATTTCACCAGTTGATTTTGCTATTGGACTTTGTCTTTATCCTCGTACTAGAACACCTGTTTACAGTCAAAATGAAAAAGAAATTTTACTTACGATAAATGGTTTTCAACAAATTTACAATTGCACTTATCGGTAAGATTTTAATTAGTCTTTAAAAGTTTCAATTTGCTTTTTTCAAAATCAGTAGATAGTCATAAAAATTCTAAATTTGAGATATAAAATAAGATTAGTGATTTAAATCTAAGAGTGAGTATTTTTGAAATAAGATTAAATATTTTTAAACTAAGAGTAAATCTTCTTAAAATAAGAATAATTAAAAAGATGTTTTGGTAGAATGAGAAAATTATGATGAAAATTTACATCTTGATAGATTGGAAAATGACGGGTACAATATCCGGCGAGTCCATCAACCGGAAGAAGAACGATGTCGACGACGTCGGCACGAAGAAGTGCCACTTTCAACTAGATTACCAACTTTTGATGAAAGAAGATGGATAAAAAAATTATTATTTGACTCGACACGCGATCATCGTCATCAAAATGATCTACAGGATCATCTAACGAATCCACAGGAAAACGACGACGGCGCCGTAAGGATCGTCGTCATAAAAGCCACCTCCACTACGTTGCTTAGTGAAAATCCGTCGGCCGTTACGAACACACCCCAACGTTCGCTCGACGAAGTCGGATCACTTCTTCGGAAAGCCCTGAGAATCGTTTCGCCGCCTGCCCTCCCTTGCGACTGTTACATTTTTAACATCTTCCATCATCATCATCATCATCATTATTATCATTATCATCAACCTTCAAAACAATCGCGGGACCAGAAATTCACAATTTCCCATCACACAATGCCGCGGGTGAGTTTTGTGTATTTTTGTTTATTCCTTGATTTTTTTAGCAGCATCAAATCTATTCACTTCTTTTTTTAAGAACTTTTGCCCTATCTCGACAATATAATTTCAAAAAGAAAAAAAAACAAATAAATATTTCAATTAACAATCTATAGAGTGATTTAATAAAAATTTTATCGAAATTCGGTTTAATTAAGAAATTATCGGCAAAAAAAAGAAATGTTTAATTTAATTAAGAGTTTATCAAAAAAGTTGTTAAAAACAAAAAACAAAAAATTTGTGTCAATTTATAATTATTTTTTTAATTATTTAAAACTTTTGAAAAATTATAATTTTTAATAATTTAAAAAATTATTATTATAAATTAAATAATAATATTATATTATATTAATAATTATTTAATTCAATCAATTTTTCATTTCATAATAGTCAAGATTATTTGAATCTAAATTTTTTGTTCACTGTATTGACATATTTTTTTGTTTCTTTTTTGTTTTTTAAATAGGGGAGAAAAAAATAATTGAGTAACCACAGTACTGGTCACTTTCTCATAGGGGGTTTTGTGACGCACAAGGGAGGCATACAATTTCTTTATTGGTCAGTTTCAAAAAGGGGGATGGTGGCGGTGGTGAAGAAAGATAGGTATATTTAGTCACGTGTCCATTACATACATCTCTTCATTCACCCCTCGTGATTGTAACATGTGACCGCTATACGTCCAGTAAAATACGTATACAACATTGATTCTTTTTTTTAAATTTTTATTTAAATTGATAAATTATCATAAATATTAAAAAAAAAAATTATTTCTTTTTTGCAATTGTAATTTCATTTGAATGAATTTTTCCATTTAAATTTATCATCTAATTAAATAATGAATCATTAAATGAAAATATAATAAAAAAAAGTATTGATTCTCTTTCTCTCTTTCCCTCTCTCACTCAGTATAGTGATAGATATTATATAGTAAAATTTTTAAATTTCTTCTAATCGATTCAAGAAAATCAGAATATGTATAGCAAAATTAATATAACTCTTAATATAGAAAAAGACAATTTTATATATTATGGAAAAATACAAATGTTTATCATAGCTTGGAAAAATGTTTAATCGTTCTTGATTTTGTAATGAAAAATTAATTAAAATTGAAATTTTTAAAACATGGATTTTTAATGTCCATTCTTATCTGACAATAAGTTGAAAGAATTATGATTTTTTTTAATTAAAAAACTTTATTAAAAATTCTTATTAGAAATAATTTTTTTAAATCATAATTTTTTTTATTATTTTTATTTATTTAATGCAATCATTTATAAAATCTCCAAAAAATTATTAATTTAATTACAAAAATTAATATTTAAATACTAATAATAATGATTAATATAATTTTTAATTTTTAAATAAATACATTGATAAATAATATTTATCTGAGGGGAATTAAATTAATTTTAATAATTGCAATATGATTAGTTAATAATTAAGGGAAATTTTTATATGTGTCAATTTTATAAAAATTAATTAAGGATTCTATTTGTGGCAGACAAAAGATATATTAACGCGATAATAAAATTTAACTCGTCTACTTTGATTAGACATCAACATTACGTTCATTGCGTCACGTAGTAAAATGTATATAATCGAGGAGAACTTGGATGAACATTGACCGCGGTAGTTTCCGCGGATGTGAAACATTGACTTCGTCTGGTCATTTAGACTTTGTACCATCATTTTCAGCACAGTGAACTCTTCTCTTCTCTCCTCTTCAATTAATATTATTTTTATTTTATTATTATATTTATATTTTATTTTATTTCATTTATTTGTTTTTTTTAAATATATTGACAATTTGTTAATTTCTCTTTGAAAATAAATTTTTTTTTTTGCTAAAACCCAAAACGAAATATTTTGTTTTTTCTTATTTTTTAAACAATACTGTTTAATTTCTTGTTCAATTTCCATAACTTAAATATAAAATTAGCTTATTGGCATAATTTTTAGGTTTTTTTCTACGAAAAAGAATTATTTCAAAAACAGATTTTTAAAAAATTGAATTTTTTTTTGTTGCAGTATAAAATGTTTTTTTTTGTGCAAAATTGTGCGACTGACAATGAACATTGGTACGAACAACGCAATCTGCAATCGAAACAAACATATTTCTGATATCAAAATGATATCTAGTGACACAATTAGCATTTATGAATGGAAAAAAATTGAATAATTTATATATATTAATATTACACGTGTATTATCTATAAATTAAAAATAATTAAAAGCGTTAATCGCAAATTGGAAATTACCATATAATACTATTTTAATTAAAAAAATTAAATTAAATTTGTCTTTTTCGATTAAAGTTGTTTATGAAAATTATAGCATATTCTGTTTGTCAGTATTTATAAATAAAAATAAAAAAAATCGCTGATGAATTTATTCAGCCTGTTATAATTGATATAGTAAAATATTCATTGTTCATCAATTTGAATTAGATTGAACTTTAAAACGTCATAATTTACATAATTTATATATCGAGATTAACAATTTGTCATATTGTTCATAAAAAATATATAGCGGCCGTGGAATCTGAGCTGTCAACTTAGCAACACGATGCAAACTGGATCGAACTGTTCGAAAGATTTATCTAATTTTTACAGACTCCAGCTTTGCTTTGATAAATAATTAAATGTCTTTTTTTTCCTCTTTCTATAAATCGGGGTAAGATAATGACCCTTCGATGAAATTTGTCACTATTTTTTTCTCCTTTCATTGAAATTTCTAATAACGATAAATATTTATTTGCATTTTTAATCATCATATTATAAAATTGCAAAGTTATAAAGTATAAAATATTTTTTTCTGTACAATTTTTTTACTACCGCAGCAAAGTTTTATGCTGGTGCTAATTTTGAGAAATGATTTTGGTAAAATCATATACATAGTTCTTAAGAGCTTACACTGAAGTGCAATAAAGTCCAATGACCATTCAGGAATTGGCAAAGTTTAACTATATACGTTTTCGCAAGTTGAGTTCGTGACTTGATGGGAAATTTAAGAAAAGAAGTTACGACCTCAAAGCACCTAATTTAAATGGTTTCGATTTTCGATCTCTATATATTCTACTCAAATGGTAACATAATACCACCTCACAAACCAAAACTGGCTCATTGAACCTACTTCTAAGAGAGAGAAAGAGAGAGCATGCTCACGAAGAGTAAATTCAGAATACCAGATCACATTACATTCTGATAAGAAAGTCCTGTGTGTTGTTATTTCAAAGGGGTGTGGGAGAATGGTTAAGATAGCATTCAGAACTGGTTGGCTAGGTCTGCCATATATATAGTGAATTGGGATTGGGCAAAAGAGGATATATACATACGTATATTATCGATTTGTACCATTCAGTGCCAGGTGTTGGCTTGTGTGCCTTTCTCAACCCTCTTGGTTTGTTCACACAAATCACCTGACTCTCTTTATAGGAGTTCCAGTAGGAGATATTCTACCCCCTTAAGGTACACACGCGCCCTCTACTGTTCTCTTCTACCCTTCATAATTATCTCTTGTGTCTTTCAACCATTTTCTTTTGCTTCATATCATAAAACAGTTGTCTTATAACACCCTCACTTTCAAATAATTTCATAATGTATCATCTAGATCATGGAACTAGTCAACAATATTTATTTCAAAACAAAATTAATAAATAAATAATTGCTTTGAAAAATAGTTAAGACATTTTGCTCTTATCTTGTCATTAAAGAAATATATCCTCCTATTTTTATAATTATAGATGTACAAAATTAATAATTAATAATAATTATCGATAAAGTAAAAAAAAAAAATCTAATTCCAAGTCACGCGAAACAAACTTTACGTTTCGTTCATTCACTCTAAACAATCAAGGGGCCACTGAATAATTAGTTCACAATGAATTAGTGTAATATCCAAAAAAACACAATTCACCTTCGTAGAAATTACATTCATTCAAATTGTAACTATTTTTTTTATTAATTTTTAAATGTCATATTTTCTGCAGACTTAATTAATATTAAACATAGTTTTTTAAATAATAATAACAATAATTGTTAATTAAAATTATCAAACTATTAGGTATAAATTAAAGTGTGAATGTTTTTTAAACATGTAGAATTCACGTGATTGTTGATTACATCATTCGGAAATCTATATAGACCCAGACAAACTTTGTCTACATAAATTTTTTTATCTTCATCCAATTTCGTATATAATTATATTATTATCAAACGCTGTCTACTATCACATTATTTGCGCGTGTTGTCAATTATTTAATATAGTGATAGTTTGATAAAAATATGTAATTTTCTTAATATATATATATGAGGAAATACTTTGTGTCTTAATTTGTATTTTTTTTAATTTCATTTCTAATCTAAAACTGTCTGATGATGATAAAAATATTGATGACATAGTACATAGTTATTTTAAATTTCTGATTTGTTTGTTTTTGTTTTTTTTAAATATTGTTTTAAATACTTTTATTTGTTACAGACACCGACTATTAAAGGAACTTCTAATTTGACGCTCCGCGGACAGATGGACAGGCGGCGGCCACCGTTTCTCAGGGGCACTTCAAAAGTCAAAGAGGTAAAATTAATTTTTAATTTATAAATTTTTTTCATGCGCTGACAGGTCTCTATGATTAAGAGTAAAAGGAATATAAAAATTTATGGTAACTGCTGTCATGGTACCACATCAACTGGTTTCACATACAGTAACTGGTTCCACACCAACTGGTACCACACTAACTGGTATCACATATAGTAACTGGTACCACACCAACTGGTACCACATACAGTGACTGGTACCACCCTAACTGGTACCAGTTACTATATATTTTTCCAGTTAGTGTACGGGTACCAAACTATTGCTGTATTAACGATTGCTATAATCGCATAATTGCAATTTATATAATCTTGAGGTATTATAGTACAAGAAAAAATACCAGCTAATTCAAGAAGTATAATTATTTTGCAAACATCATCTGAGAGCTTTTATGAACAATTATTTTTGTTTATTGAAATATAATTGCAATGTGTTAATTAAAATTAAAACAGATTTAGTGTCATCAAAAAACAATTATATAGTTGGTAACCAGGAACCACATTTAGGAAAATTTGGTGGAACTGGAGGAAGATCATAACGTTCTCCAACGTGTAGAATCATATTCATTCCTTCAACCATATGCCAATCAATGTGACAGTGAAAAATCCACCATCCTGTATGAAGAAATGAGGCATAATAGATAAATAATTTTTTAGTGTATAAATAAAAATAAAAATCTAGAATGTGAGATGATCTACCTGGATTATCAGCAATGAAACGCAGTATAACGTATCCTGCTGTTGGAATAATAACAGTGTCTTTCATTGGCAAATGACGACTATAGCCAGTAGTGCTTAAAACTTTTTTATGATCATTCAAAATCGAATGTATGTCATTGATAGTATAATTTTGACTCCTTTGTGGTCCAATTTTTAAAACTGTGAATTTATATCCATGTAAGTGAAATGGATGTACAACAGGTTCTACACCAGCTGAAATGTTTCTTTTTTTAATTTTTTTACTTAATTTGAAATGACGGTTAGAATTTAAAAAAATAATTGATTGATAATAATTATCAAATATTATGATACCTTTGTCATATAAAATGATTTCAACGATAGAATTTTTCTTAATATCCACAACATGAGTACAATAACAAGGATTTGGACATTGATTATAAGAATTGTATTTTCGATTGCAAGTATCCCTTGAATGTATATTACTAGAAATTAAAAGTTCCGAAGGAGGTACAAATAATATACCATCAATCGTTGCCGTAATAGATAAAGGATAAGTTGGATCTAGAGAAGAAAAATTTTAATTGATGATTTGTTTTAAAATTTTTTTTAAATTGTTTCTTACAATACTCACAGGGAGATTTTTTATGAAACTTATTGGTACTGTAGAAAGGATTTTTCTCCCCATACTCGAAAGAATGTAAATCAAGAGGAAAAATAAATCTTTCATCAGGTTCACCTTTAGTTAATCTTTTATCTAAAAATTCTGTGCCTTTGAACTGATCAACACATATTGCATTTGATTTTGATTTATCACATTTACCATCTATTGGATTATACATCTAAAAGGATGTGAAATTTGTATCTTTTAAATATTACTAATATTTTTGAAAAACTTATTTCACTTTTATGTTAATTATATAGTTTTAGTACTTTTCCTTCAGGTAGGTAATTTTTGTATGTAGGCATAGATGATTGTGGTGTTTTGGAAGCACCTAAATAGGAAATAATTGCCAATTGTTGATTTTCTTTTTCTGCACAATCCATTAATCCTCTTGTTTGAATCCAATAGGATCCTGGTTTTTGATTTGCTGTTAAGATAAAATCTACTCTTTCACCTGATGAAAGGGGAAATAATTTTTTAACTCAATTCTTAAAAAAAGATAATGAGATAAATTAATGATAATGAGGTAAATTAAAATATAATTTCACCTCCACCGGAATGTAAAGAAGTTACTGTTTCTGGACAAACTGAAGAACCGTCTTGTGCAATGACGGTGATATCGTGTTTTTCTATTGTAAATATTGCGGTGCATCTTAAACTAATTGCATTTATAAAACGGAATCTGTATCTTTTTCCTGGTTCTACGTAAAATGTTTCTAAAGTTGTATTAGTTACTTTACCATCCAAATCCTGTAATTAGATAGTTTTATCTCTTGACTCACATTATTTCTGATTCCCGAGCTTAATAATTCAGAAATATTAATTATTATCAATAGACTCGATGTATAAATAAGGTTAATTTTTTTCCTTGTATCTAATATACTGCTATCTATCCAGGTGAGAAAAGCTAATGACAATTGTACCAGACATAAAATGAGGTTGGGATGAGCATTGATATCAAATTTTGAACCAATATTGGTATAATTCAGGTTGAACTTCCCTATTATTGAGAAAACTTTATAGAAACAAAATTCTGAACCCACTTGCCTGAAATCGACCTCTTCCATTAATCAAAAGATTATCAGGTGGTGCTAAAGGTTGAGTGTAAATTCCCGGATGTTTTTCACTTGACAAATGATGAAACCAATCATGTACCATTATTACGTGAGCAGGAAGATCCTCATCATAATGATGCCAATGAGGATCACGTCTTGGTGTTTGGCGTACAATTAAACTACCAAATTGACCGTCCATTCTTTGTGTTGAGACATGAGCATGATAAAAGAATGTACCGGCATTGTTAACAGGAAATTGATACCTGTTTGTAATTAAAGAAAATATTTATTATGTTCTTTTATATGGAGAAAAATAATAACATTCACCTAAATGTACTTCCGGCCATTATTGGACATTGGGTTACCATTGGAACACCATCGTAATATTGATATCCTTTTTGGAATAATCCATGCCAATGTAAAGTCATTTCAAGACCTTCGGCTTTATTTTCAACGTCTACTATTAATGTATCGTGCTCGCATACCTTAAATATTAATCATCGAATTAAAATAATTCAAACAATCGCAGAAAAAAATCTGAGCTCAAAAAGAACCAAAATGAGTATATTAGTCCAGAACTGCAACAAAAATGAGTTCAGGTTTTTCTTTGATATTCAAAGACAAAAAATCTTGAGATTTTTCCAAGTAATGTATACCTGAATGCTTGGACCTGGAAATACTCTGTTAATTGATATAACTGTTCTCTTTTTACCATCAGCTTCAATGCATTGACAATTTGGCATATTCAATAATTGATCAGTGCCATTTTGTCGACAAGGAAAGCAAGGACTATAATATTGAAAAAAATAAATATTGTATAACTATTTCTCCAGTATTTCATTATTTATCAACTTCCAGAAAAAAATTACCTGCCCATCGTGTGAAAATACTCGATTGCAAAATGATAATAGCAATGACGAGGTGGTTCGTAATCTGAACAGACACGTCTACATTCTTCAAGAGTTGACAATTTTTTCGGGTATTGGAATTTATATTTACTTAAGTTTACATAATTTCCCATAAGAAGAATCTGTTTTAGAAATTAAAAAATTATTCTTTATAATGCTTGTAAGTATAGTATAATGTAGACTTTAGTATTAAAAAATGGTATAGATGTTTTACATCAAAAACATAAAAAATGAAAATAATGTAAACCTAATGATCAAAAACAATTTTTGTATTTCTAAAAAAGGAGTTAATTACTTACAATAATTAAATAAGAAAGAAACCGATAAAGGCCCATTTTTTCTTGTCAATAAGTTAAAAACGTTTACTTTGTTATAAGGAAAATTATATATTTATCATTTAAATGTCTTATCAATTGTTTAGTACACATGCTTAACCTTGAATTATTATTTAGCTAACTTTTTACAATGTCATGACTACCACGTGGAGGTAAAAAAAATAAACAAATATTCGCTTTTTTTCTAATGGATATAATAATTTTTCTAATGGCATATAATATAAACTACAAGATTCGCCGAAATAGATTCTTACATTCGGCTTTGATTCTAAAGAATAAGAATTTCTAAATTGTCTATAAAAACATTCAAATAGAATCTGATGATCTGCTAAATGTCATAAAAATGCTAATGAAGATGCAAAAACTTCTGTTGATGATGCAAACTTCAACTTCTCTTTTTAACTGCGGAGAAGAGTCAAAAAATTCTCAAATTTAACATTTTATTGGAGACCACGTTTGTATCAATAATCTTTTATGGATTTTATATGCAATTCAAGAATTTTTAAAACCAGATTTATTTATAATGTAATCCCAAACATGGCCTAAAATTAATGGACCATTTTCAAGATCATGGACCTTGTGGAAGTCAAAACATAATAAATTTTATATATGAATCCTAAGAAATGTTTGCACTAACTGATAATGGTTTTTTACATTATTGTTTGTTAAAAAATAATTTGTTATATTATATACACATTGTTATCAAACAAATTGTTGAGTTTAAAATACAATTGTTATATAATTGCATGTTAATGCTTTAAATCTTCATTAAAAACGCAACACTTTAATATTACTTTTAACATTTGTTGATTACAATTTATAAATTAAAAATTACATCGTTAATTAAATTAGTTTAAACTGTAAAAATATTATTTACAAATATATATGCAAAAAATTAAATTATAAAAAAATTTTACATCAGTCGTCTGGGATAAAAATCTGTAAAAATTTTGAAGACATTTTATCTTCTGAATGATAAATTATCGACATGAACGGTTAGGAATCTTTTATATCGAATGATATTTGAATTCAAATGGTAAATACATTGATGGTTGGTAATATAATTTTGCTATTTCATCAATTATTACTATAAATTAGTAAAATAAATGTTTTTAACATATCACAAATTTTTCTCTTGTTATAATTGTTGATAATTTATTTTTAATAAATAAATTTTTTATTAAAAATTTATAGTTTTATTGACAAAATTAAAAATTAGATAACAATTATTGTTATAATTTGTTATAATTTTTTAAAAAATTTATTTATTAACTATAATAAATTGTAAATTATAAAATATTGATTGAGACCTCTATCGGGGACGTCAGAAAGCATGTTGGTAAATAAACAGATAATGACAGCTGCAGACGCCAAACAGTAACCATAATAAACAGCTGTCAGAAAACATAATGCATTTTTTTATTCAATTTATTAGGTTTTAAATGTAATTTATCTTTGTATAATAAATGAAAGTGAATTAATTTTTTGTTTAAAGTTTATTTAAATTGTGACCTAATTTATAAAAATGAAGTTATTTTCCTTAAAACCTACCTTAATTTGTAAAAATGCGTTACAGAATAATTAATTAATAAAATAAGAAAACATAACGGATAATGTACTTTAAGCGCAAGGTATTGTAAAAATAATTACTGTAATTTTATTAAATGTTACTTCACTGTAAGAAAATAATAAAAAGATTTATGTTAAAAACAAAAATTTTTTCCTTCTTTCCAACTATACTTAGCCTTAATATCTTGACTCGAAAAAAAATTACTTTAGCTTTAAATTAGTTTCTGTTTGCGCATTTTTCATTGCTGGTCTTTTTGGGAGTATGTGGGACTCCCGTACCTTATATTTACATAAACTATAGTTAATATAAAGTAGCAATAATTTGGTGCTTTTTTAAAATTCTCTAATTATAGCCAGGCAAAGGTCGAAGTGAAAAAATGGAAACGAGGCCAATTGTTGGTAACAGTGACGGGGAACGAGTTAGTGATGAAGATCCTACAGCTGATGGATTATTGAGACAAAATTATGAATTACGACATCGACTTGAAGAAGAAACGGCAAGCTATAAAAGACGACTTGATACCTATCGACAAGCACAACAACATCAGGCAGCTCTTGTATCACGTTTACAAGCAAAAGCAAGTTTTCATTACAGAAATAAATTTTTTTTTCCTATTAGAAAACAGTTTAGAAACTAAATTTGCCACTTGGCTTTATCATTAAAAATTTTTAATTGTAGGTTCTTCAATATAAACAAAGATGTTCTGAATTAGAAAGTCAAATGGTAGAGTCACTTCCTGCGGAAATAGTAAGAGTTCCCTCTTCTTCAGCAAGAGGAAATTCAGCTTTAGACGCAGCGCAACAAACATTGAGGGAATTACGAGAAGAGCAGATACATGATTTAGAAACTGCTTTAAAAAAATTATCCGAAGAAAGAAGAAGGTTTTGTTTTATTTAATTTAACTTCATTTTGTAATGGAAAAACAAAAATGAGTTTTTTCTATAATTTTAGGTGCGACAAACTTTTGCAATTAAACACATCTTTAAAGGATCAATTAGAAGAATCCCATCAAACAAATGAGACCCTAACTAATGATCTTCAAAAATTAAGCAACGAATGGGATTCAATGAGAGAGGAATTATTAATTAAAGAAGATGAATGGAAAGAGGAAGAACTTGCATTCAATGAATATTATACATCAGAACACAATAGATTATTAAATTTATGGAGGAATGTCGTCTCTGTAAAACGTCTATTTTCCGATGTTAAATCATCAACTGAAAGAGATTTGTCCAAGTTACGAAATGAAATTAGCATTGCTTCTAATTACATGGTCTCTGCTTGTACCAGCACAAAATTTGCCGTGAAAATGCAAATGGCAGCAGCTCAACCAGTTGTCAGTATTAATTTTATTTAGTATATATTAAAGGATATAATTTACATTTATAATAATAAAACAAAAATTCCCACTAGATACCCCAATCATTTCAACAAATTCAAAGTGCATCCGATTTAAAAGCAGAAATAGCTTCAATAAAACAACAATTCGATTTGGCTCAAGGTGAAATTCGAATGAAAGATGAAAGAATTCATCAATTGTTAAAAGAGGTTCAATCATTGGTGAGATAACATTTTTTGTTAGTTTCATAATATATATGAAAATAAATAAAAATTTCCAATTTATTTTTCATAAATTAAATATTAGGATGAAAGATGTGGAGAGGCAGAATCAGGTGTCACGCAAGCAATAAAAATGCAGGAAGACATTGAAATTTTACAAACTGCCTTGAAAGATATTGCACACGCTGTAATTCAAGACGCGGAATCACGAAATGCAGAAAGTAATCAGCCACCACCTCATATTCATTTATCGCCTTCAATTTCTATACCTCAAAAATCGCCAAAACGTGGAGCAAGAAGTGCCACTACACCTGCATTTGCTGAAAGCACTATCAGCGCTGTTCAAGCTGCTTTACACAAATACCAATTGTCCATTCATGAACTTCAGGTATTTAACAAAATATTGTTGAAAAATAATACATATTACAAAAAATTGATTTTTTTTTATTAGGTAAAATTACAAACAAATAAAGAACAATTGTCATTGACACGAAAGCAATGTGAAAACGCTGAAGAAACGACACAACAATTGGAAGGTAAAATTACAGAAATAATGTCTCAACTTGATGCAAGTAGATCTCAATGTTTGCAATTAAATCAAGAGAAGGATATATTGCAAAAAAATTTAGATTCAATTCGATCGGAGAAAAATTCTCTCGATCGAAATAGAGTCGAAATCACAAATATGGTATGAATTTGATGAATTCTAATAATGAAATTACTAAAATATTTAAAATAGTAATAAATCTTATTTTATTCCAGTTGGAAACATTAAACTCTGATTATGAAAAATTACAAAAATCACATAACAAATTACAAAAGTTGTGCGAGAATCTTGAGGATGAAAAAATGTATCTTCAAGATGAACTCGGAAGAGTTCTTAAAGAAGCTGAACTCAGGTAGAATTAAATTATTTATATTTTCGTATTTAACATTTAAAACAATTTTTTTTCATCAATCAGGGAACAAACACTACGATTAGAAGAAGAACGATGCAGTAAAATGAGAGAAGAAATTTTAACTCTCAGAGAAGAATTGAGTAGAACGTCACTTGATAGAGATATGCTAGAACAACAGAAACTAGAAACAGACAGTTTGATTTCACAAATTGAAAAGAGTAAAGGTATAAAATTTTATTTGGTAATCTTCATAGAGTAATCTTTATAAAAAATAATTTTAATTTCTAAAATTCAGGTGACGTAGAATTGGAATTGGAACAAATTCTTTTGGAGAAATCAGATATTCAAGAAATGTTGGCAAAAATGGAATCGATTTGTGTTAATCATGAAGAAGATAAAGCAAGGCTTCAAGATGAAATTAAAAAGGTTTACTGTTAATTACTTTTCAGGCAAATAATAATAAAACTGATAAAGTAATGTTTAACATTTTTTTTCAACAGTTGAATGAAGATAAAGAAAAAATAGCAAGTCAATGTACAGATCAACAAGGTGACTTATCATCCTTGAAGAAGGAATTATTACAAGCCGAGCAAAATCGTTTGGATTTGGAATCTGAGAAAGTTTCTTTACACGAAAAGATCAAAGTTTTAGAAATCGAGAAAGAAAAAGTAGAAATTGAATTAGGGCAAGTATCGCGAGAACGTAGCGATTTAAGTAATCAATTATCAATTTTAGCCAGAAAGAAAGAAACCCTAAACGAAGAATTGATGAGACTAAGACAACGATTAGAACAAGCAAATGAAATGAATGCAAGAATAAATAGAAATCTTGAAGATCTTGTCAAAGACAATGAGGAAAAACAGGTATTTTCTTAAACTTAATCTAATTTAACAAAGTTTTTTCTATTTTTTATATTTACAGGTAATTTTGGAAGCAAGTGAAAAGGAACTTCAAAGATTACAAGAACAATTAGCTTCAGTTCGTAGTGAGAAAGAAACATTGGAAGGTGTTCTATTTGACACACAAAGTAATCTTGAAATGACACACGTTAAAAAAACTCAATTAGAAAAAGATCAACAAGATTTATTAATAAAACAAGAAAGTCTTAAAGGACAAATTATTCGCTTAACGAAAGAATTGGAAAATAGTGAAAAACGTGCCCAGGATATGAAATATACTCTAACTCAACAGAGTGAAAATCAAGAAGCTGAATTTCAACAAATTATTTTAAATCTAAAGAAACAAAGTGAAGACAGTATTAAAAAATTAAATGAAGATAAGGTGAAAAAATTACGAAAAATGAATTCAAATTTTTAATTGCTTTCATCAATATTGTATTTTATTTCCACTTTTTCAGGAACAAATTAGAATGTCACTGGAGAAACGTCTACAACAAAATTTATCACAATTAAGTGGCGAGAAAGATAGTGAAATTGCACAATTAGAAAAAAATGTACAAGATTTGCAAATGCACGTTGAAACTGTTTGTCAACAACATGAGGAAGTTCTTCTTAGAGCAGAAAATGATAAACAGCAAGCTTTACTTATTGGTACAATTTTCGTATTAAATAAAAACTCATAATTTTCTTTAATAGAAAATTTTTATACATTAATTTTTTATTTTTATAGCTCATCACGATCAGCAGGCATTAGTAGAAAAACTCGAAGGAGTTTATAGAGAATTAGAAGAGGAAAAAGGAAATTTAGATCGACTTCGAAGAGAAGCATCAACACGTGCTGATCAAGATCGCATCAATTTAAATCAATTGCGTGACGAATTCAATCGATTGAAAACACGATTGGAGGAAACAAAATTAAAGAGTGATGAAGAAAAAATCAAATTAGAACTGAAAATGGAAGAAGCTCTTAAAGAAAAGGAATCGACACAAAGAGAAGTTGAGGAATTACAAGTTCAACTTCACATGGCTGAAGATAAAGTCGATAGTTTACAAAATCAACTTCATGAAAATGATAGAAAACTCAAAGAGGGTATTTTTTATTTATGTAGAATTATTAATTTGTTTGTTTTTACAACTCTAATATTAAATAAACTTTCTTCTTAATTCTCACAGCTGAAAATACAATTGAATCATGTCGTAAAGAATTAGTCGACATTCGCCGACAATTAACGGATTCGAATTTCGAGAAAGATAAATACAGTAGTACCAATAAGGAATTAAGGGAATATGTAAAGAGAATCGAAAGTGAGAAACGGGAACAGAATCGAGCATTAGAGGAAGCTCATCAAAAAATTGCAGGTAATGCAAAAAAATTATTACATCCATTAATGTTAAAATTATTTTAAAGGAAATAAAAACAAAATTTTGTTATGAATTTTAGCTTTAGAAGACATGAAAACGACACTTGATGCCGAAAGAACTCGTCTTCAAGCAAATATTCGAGACATGGAACGAGAAATCACACAATTGCAACAGCAACTTCGTTTCACTCAAGATGAATTACAAAAATCGCATGCGATGAATTCAACAGCTCAAAATGAAGAGAAAGAACTTCAAGGACGTCTAGCTAATGAAATTGAAGAAAGAGAGCGACTACAACTTCAACTTCATCAAGTTAAAAAGCAGGTAATTCAGAAGAAGCAAACTTTGTAAAAATTCAAAATTAAATTCCTACTGTTTCTAGAATGATACATCTTTGGTTTCTTAATTCATTAATTTCATTTCAGGTTGTAGACTTAGACAATAGTCTCGAAAATACAAGACAAGAATTCGCAAAATTACGAGCACGAGCTGATGAAGATGATGAAAGATGGCGTGGAAGAGAACAAGAATTACTGATAAGACTAGAAGATAGCAGATGTCGAGAAAGAAAACTAGAGGATCAGAAACACAATTTGGAAGTTTGTCTTGCCGATGCATCTCAACAAATTCAGGAGCTTAAAGTAAATAAAAAAAAATACTTCCCCCATGAAGCAGGAAAAAATTGAGTCTTTAAACTCTTTTTTTTACCAATTAATAATTTCTTTTAGGCACGTTTGGGTGGCTCGGAAGGAAGAGTTCGAGCTTTAGATGCCCAATTAGCTCAATTGGAAGTTTTAAAAAAAGAAGTCGAACAAAAATTAAGTAGCGTGGGCACGACTCTTCGTCGCATTGCTGGAATTCAATTAGATGGAAGTGTCAATATGCCATTTAAAATCACGAGTCCTTCCCGAAGATGGAGTCCAGTTCGCAGTACGTTAATTATTTATCGATTAACTAGGAAAAATAAAATTGAAAATAAATCATTTCATTATTTTTAGTGCAAGATCATGGAAATGCTGGTCGTGATATTGTTTTTGATGTTGATCCAGAAGTAGTAAGAAAAGGTGTTAGATCTCTGATGCAACAAGTTGCACAAATCGAAAGAGAAAGGGTAAATGTTATCCAGTTTTGTATTGTTTCTTTAAATAACTTAATCATAACCTTGTTAGAAATTTATTTTATTTTAACTTTAGGACGACTACTTTACTGAAATAGAAAATATGAAAAAACAACTAATGGAAGCTGGTGATAATTCTAATAAAACAGATTTAAAACTTAATACTTTACTCATGAATATAAGAACAATCCAGGAAGACAAGAATGTTCTTGAATCGAAACTCTCTCAAAAAGATGCTGTTTGCCAGGCGCAGATGGAAGCTTTGCAGCATAAAACATCAGAAGTGGAACACTTAAGAGAAAGAGTTACCACTTTGGAATTAACAGTTAGCAGTGAAACTGAAGAGAAATCTCAATACGAAGTAAAATTTTATTACTATCTGTAGAAAAGGTTTTTACTATCTTAAAAAAATGGACATTTTAATATCTAAATTTATGTACAGGATAAAATGGAAAAATTAAAACAGCTTGCGAATAAATTAGAAATTGAAAAGAGAAGTTTACAAGATGAACTTGGCAAAACAGAAGCAAGAACAACAAAATTAGAACTTCAACGTATGTCTCTTGAGGGAGATCTTCAAAGATTGCAAATGATCCTTCAAGAAAAAGAAGCTCATATTCAGGTAAAATTGTAATAATTCATGCAATAATTTCAAATTTTACAATTAAATTAATTGCCAGCTTTTTTTCTAGAAACTTCAAGATCGTTCTGATACACAAACAAGAACAATGACAACTTTAGAAGAACGTTGCGGTTCTTTAAATTCAACTATAGAGCAATTGAATCAAACACTTCAAAGATCATCAAATACAGAAAGTGATCTAAGAAATGAAATTAGTTCCCTGCAAAGAAATCTAATGGAAATCACTGTAGCCTCACAAAGCAATAACGATAAACTTAAACAGGTATGTTTTTTTACATCTTAAAATAAATTATAGGGGAGAATGAGGAGTTGTGCATCGGCTTTTTTTGAAGTACGAATAAAATTCACTTGTACTTCACTTGTACATCATCGTACTTCATTCGTACTTCATTCGTACTTCACTCGTACTTCACTCGTACTTCATTCGTACTTCACTCGTACTTCACTTGTACTTCACTTGTACTTCATTCGTACTTCATCGTACTTCACTCGTACTTCACTTGTACTTCATCGTACTTCATTCGTACTTCATCGTACTTCACTCGTACTTCACTCGTACTTCATCGTACTTCATTCGTACTTCACTCGTACTTCACTCGTACTTCATTCGTACTTCATCGTACTTCATCGTACTTCATCGTACTTCATCGTACTTCATCGTACTTCACTCGTACTTCACTCGTACTTCATCGTACTTCACTCGTACTTCACTTGTTCTTCACTCGTACTTCATTCGTACTTCATTCGTACTTCATCGTACTTCATCGTACTTCATCGTACTTCACTCGTACTTCACTTGTACTTCATCGTACTTCATTCGTACTTCATCGTACTTCATTCGTACTTCACTCGTACTTCACTCGTACTTCACTCGTACTTCATCGTACTTCACTTGTACTTCACTCGTACTTCATTCGTACTTCACTTCTACTTCACTCGTACTTCACTCGTACTTCACTCGTACTTCACTCGTACTTCACTCGTACTTCACTCGTACTTTACTCGTACTTTACTCGTACTTTACTCGTACTTTACTCGTACTTCATTCGTACTTCACTAGTACTTCACTCGTACTTCATTCGTACTTCATCGCACTTTATTCGTACTTCACTTGTACATCATCCTACTTCACTCGTACTTCATTCGTACTTCATTCGTACTTCATTCGTACTTCACTCGTACTTCATTCGTACTTCACTTGCACTTCATTCGTACTTCACTCATACTTCACTTGTACTTCATTTGTACTTCATCGTACATCACTCGTACTTCACTTGTACTTCATTCGTACTTCACTCGTACTTCACTTGTACTTCAGTTGTACTTCACTCGTACTTCATTCGTACTTCATTCGTACTTCATTCGTACTTCACTCGTACTTCACTTGTACTTCACTCGTACTTCACTTGTACTTCACTCGTACTTCACTTGTACTTCATTCGTACTTCATCGTACTTCACTCGTACTTCACTTGTACTTCATCGTACTTCATTCGTACTTCATCGTACTTCATTCGTACTTCACTCGTACTTCACTCGTACTTCATTCGTACTTCATCGTACTTCATCGTACTTCATCGTACTTCATCGTACTTCACTCGTACTTCACTCGTACTTCATCGTACTTCACTCGTACTTCACTTGTTCTTCACTCGTACTTCATTCGTACTTCATTCGTACTTCATCGTACTTCATCGTACTTCATCGTACTTCACTCGTACTTCACTTGTACTTCATCGTACTTCATTCGTACTTCATCGTACTTCATTCGTACTTCACTCGTACTTCACTCGTACTTCACTCGTACTTCATCGTACTTCACTTGTACTTCACTCGTACTTCATTCGTACTTCACTTCTACTTCACTCGTACTTCACTCGTACTTCACTCGTACTTCACTCGTACTTCACTCGTACTTCACTCGTACTTCACTCGTACTTTACTCGTACTTTACTCGTACTTTACTCGTACTTCATTCGTACTTCACTAGTACTTCACTCGTACTTCATTCGTACTTCATCGCACTTTATTCGTACTTCACTTGTACATCATCCTACTTCACTCGTACTTCATTCGTACTTCATTCGTACTTCATTCGTACTTCACTCGTACTTCATTCGTACTTCACTTGCACTTCATTCGTACTTCACTCATACTTCACTTGTACTTCATTTGTACTTCATCGTACATCACTCGTACTTCACTTGTACTTCATTCGTACTTCACTCGTACTTCACTTGTACTTCATCGTACTTCACTTGTACTTCAGTTGTACTTCACTCGTACTTCATTCGTACTTCATTCGTACTTCATTCGTACTTCACTCGTACTTCACTTGTACTTCACTCGTACTTCACTTGTACTTCACTCGTACTTCACTTGTACTTCATTCGTACTTCATCGTACTTCACTCGTACTTCACTTGTACTTCATCGTACTTCATTCGTACTTCATCGTACTTCATTCGTACTTCACTCGTACTTCACTAGTACTTCACTCGTACTTCATTCGTACTTCATCGCACTTTATTCGTACTTCACTTGTACATCATCCTACTTCACTCGTACTTCATTCGTACTTCATTCGTACTTCATTCGTACTTTACTCGTACTTCACTTGTACTTCATCGTACTTCATTCGTACTTCACTCGTACTTCATTCGTACTTCATCGTACTTCACTCGTACTTCACTCGTACTTCATCGTACTTCATTCGTACTTCACTAGTACTTCACTAGTACTTCATTCGTACTTCACTCGTACATCACTTGTACTTCACCCGTACTTCACTCGTACTTCATTCGTACTTCATCGCACTTTATTCGTACTTCACTTGTACATCATCCTACTTCACTCGTACTTCATTCGTACTTCATTCGTACTTCATTCGTACTTCATTCGTACTTTATTCGTACTTCATTCGTACTTCACTCGTACTTCACTTGTACTTCATCGTACTTCATTCGTACTTCATCGTACTTCACTCGTACTTCATTCGTACTTCACTCGTACTTCATCGTACTTCATTCGTACTTCACTAGTACTTCACTCTACTTCATTCGTACTTCACTCGTACATCACTTGTACTTCACCCGTACTTCATCGTACTTCACTTGTACATCACTCGTACTTCATTCGTACTTCACTCGTACTTCATCGTACTTCACGCGTACTTCATTCGTACTTCACTCGTACTTCACTCATACTTCATCGTACTTCACTTGTACTTCACTCGTACTTCATCGTACTTCACTTGTACTTCACTCGTACTTCATTCGTAATTCATTCATACTTCATCGTACTTCACTCGTACTTCATAGTACTTCACTCGTACTTCACTTGTACTTCATCGTACTTCATTCGTACTTCATCGTACTTCATCGTACTTCACTCGTACTTCACTTGTACTTCACTTGTACTTCATCGTACTTCATTCGTACTTCATCGTACTTCATTCGTACTTCACTCGTACTTCACTCGTACTTCATCGTACTTCATCGTACTTCACTTGTACTTCACTCGTACTTCATTCGTACTTCACTTCTACTTCACTCATACTTCACTTGTACTTCACTCGTACTTCATTCGTACTTCATTCGTACTTCATTCGTACTTCATTCGTACTTCACTCGTACTTCACTTGTACTTCATTCGTACTTCATCGTACTTCACTCGTACTTCACTTGTACTTCATCGTACTTCATTCGTACTTCATCGTACTTTATTCGTACTTCACTCGTACTTCACTAGTACTTCACTCGTACTTCATTCGTACTTCATCGCACTTTATTCGTACTTCACTTGTACATCATCCTACTTTACTCGTACTTCATTCGTACTTCATTCGTACTTCACTCGTACTTCACTTGTACTTCATCGTACTTCATTCGTACTTCATCGTACTTTACTCGTACTTCATTCGTACTTCATCGTACTTCATTCGTACTTCACTCGTACTTCATCGTACTTCATTCGTACTTCACTAGTACTTCACTCTACTTCATTCGTACTTCACTCGTACATCACTTGTACTTCACCCGTACTTCACTCGTACTTCATTCGTACTTCATCGCACTTTATTCGTACTTCACTTGTACATCATCCTACTTCACTCGTACTTCATTCGTACTTCATTCGTACTTCATTCGTACTTTATTCGTACTTCATTCGTACTTCACTCGTACTTCACTTGTACTTCATCGTACTTCATTCGTACTTCATCGTACTTCACTCGTACTTCATTCGTACTTCATCGTACTTCACTCCTACTTCATTCGTACTTCATTCGTACTTCACTAGTACTTCACTCTACTTCATTCGTACTTCACTCGTACATCACTTGTACTTCACCCGTACTTCATCGTACTTCACTTGTACATCACTCGTACTTCATTCGTACTTCACTCGTACTTCATCGTACTTCATTCGTACTTCACTAGTACTTCACTCTACTTCATTCGTACTTCACTCGTACATCACTTGTACTTCACCCGTACTTCATCGTACTTCACTTGTACATCACTCGTACTTCATTCGTACTTCACTCGTACTTCATCGTACTTCACTCGTACTTCATTCGTACTTCACTCGTACTTCATCGTACTTCATTCGTACTTCACTAGTACTTCACTCTACTTCATTCGTACTTCACTCGTACATCACTCGTACTTCACTAGTACTTCATCGTACTTCATTCGTACTTCATCGTACTTCACTCGTACTTCATTCGTACTTCATCGTACTTCACTCGTACTTCATTCGTACTTCACTCGTACTTCATCGTACTTCATTCGTACTTCACTAGTACTTCACTCTACTTCATTCCTACTTCACTCGTACATCACTTGTACTTCACCCGTACTTCATCGTACTTCATCGTACTTCACTTGTACATCACTCGTACTTCATTCGTACTTCACTCGTACTTCATCGTACTTCACTTGTACTTCACTTGTTCTTCACTCGTACTTCATTCGTACTTCATTCGTACTTTACTCGTACTTCACTTGTACTTCATCGTACTTCATTCGTACTTCATTCGTACTTCACTCGTACTTCATCGTACTTCATCGTACTTCATTCGTACTTCACTAGTACTTCACTCGTACTTCATCGTACTTCACTTGTACTTCACTCGTACTTCATTCGTAATTCATTCATACTTCATCGTACTTCACTCGTACTTCATCGTACTTCACTCGTACTTCACTTGTACTTCATCGTACTTCATTCGTACTTCATCGTACTTCATCGTACTTCACTCG